CCGCGAGATCATGACCTAAGCGAAAGTCGGACGCTTAACCGACAAAGCCACCCAGGTGACCCAGGTCTAGAATTCTTATCAAGCAGTGTTTTTTTCTTTTTTCTTGGTGACCTGTTAAGCCCCTTCTTTCTAGCCCCAGAATACCTTGAATAAACCCAGTGGAATTCGGCCTGTATAGAATTGACCTTCTGTGTGTGTGTATACCTCCATCCAAGCTTTAGAAGGTGTACCTTTTTCCATTTCTTGGTGCTTAGTGGACGTGTGACACAGCTTGTATGGGCGGCATCTGTAGAAAAGAGGCCTGGTGATTATCTTGCTCTTTTTTTTTTTTTTTTCTAATTTTAAAAATTTATTTATTTATTTATTTTAAGAGAGACCGAGACAGTTTGAGCAGGGGAGGGACAGAAAGAGAGAGGGAGAGAGAGAATCCCAAGCAGGCTCCTCATCGTCAGTACAGAGCCCAACGCAGGGCTGGAACTCAGAAAACTGAGATCACGGCCTGAGCCGAAACTGAGAGTCAGATGCTTACCCGACTGAGCCATCTAGGTGCCCTGGCTCTGCTCTCTTTCTACACGGATATTTGATCATTTACGTTGGCAACAATAACAACAACAAGTCTAGATTAATAGAAGAATGATAGAAACATTTCTGTTAAAGACAAGATGATAATTTGTGTATCATTGCCAGTGGCATTTAATTTCATAATAGAAGTGCCAGCACGCACAGTTACCAAAGTTGTAAAGGCTGGAAAGGAGGAGGTAAAACTAACACTGTTGGCAAATGATTGGATTGTATATCAGCTGAGAACTTAACACAAACAATAGGATTCAGTAGAGTAGTGGGGAGTGAAAAATATGTAGGAGTAAGTAAGTAACATATATGTTAAATATATGTATATATCGTAATGTACACACAGATACACTTGTCTCTGTTAAATACGGAAGAATAGTAAAAAGTGTATTTCCAACATAGATTTTGTACTCTGTCCCTGGAGAGTAAATATAAAAATGTGCCCCACTCCCCTCCTTTCCCATTATGGATTTGACCTGTAAGAATTTTAAGAGAGCATACTAATAATACACAGAAAAGCACATGGGGAAATAGATTTTAATGGCTCATCTAAGCCTTCATTTGAAATGTATTATAACACAGACTGTTAACACCAAGAAAGTAATTACCCAGGAAGAATGTGTAATGAATATAGACTAAATTGAAGTGCTTTCAGTTAGATTACAGCAGTGTGGTGTATTGGCTCTCCATTTTTATAGCATAGTTTTTAAACTTTTTGTTAAATTGTAAAATGTTAAGGTTTTCCAAGATGTAAAAAATTCATCTGCTGCAAACTATAGAAAACTTATGAAGGAAATTGAAGAAGACACAGAGAAATGAAAAACATTCCATGCTCGTGGACTGGAAAGAACAAATACTGTTAAAATGTTAAAATTGTCTTTAAAACGACCCTTTAATTCAGAGCATAAGCCTCAACTCCTTAAGGAGAAATATTTTTTGCAGATGCAGTTGTTTTGAAAGGTGGCTAACATGTCTCTGTTTCAAACTCTTTGCTCTTTGAGCAAAAGTAGTAGGGCATGTTTTTTTTTTTTTTTTTTTTTTTAGTAGAGCTGAGTAGGTGGTTAGAAGTCAGGAATCATTTATTTGCAGACTTGTTTACAGACTGTTTGGCTGAAGGACTGGGGTGAGGGTGTGTATGTTAGTGTTTTGGAAGCTCCCTAGGTGATTCTTTGTTTGATTTGGTTTGGTCTGTTGTGTTTGTGATTTCATATTATTTATATTTTAAGACATGCATAAGTAAATAATTATTCTTTCATGCCCGGTTCAATAGGATGGAAAGAAATGTGGCTTCCCACATCCTTTGATGTCTAAGTTTATCAACCAGACTTTAAAATTAGGAAGTTAGGAGGGAGTTTGTTTCCTTTGTAAGGTATGATGGGGAAAGAGAACTTGGACACTACACGTCCAAAAATCTCTATCTGCCTGCTCTCACCTTTATCTTCTAATGTAATTTAAACTCAACTCCTAAAGACCCTGATGGAAGGAAAATCCTATCAGTGCCTGTCTCTGAGCTCTGAATTTTCCAGTCCCTGGGCTTGGAATGTGGAGGAGATGAAAGAAAACAGACTTGAGAATATGCAAGCGTGAACTCAGACCTTCCCCAGAAGAACGCCACCCATATCTCCCTGGCTTCTCCATTTCACTTTAAAATGTGCTTGCTGCATTATCTGAGTGTGGGTCATCCTCAGAGAGTGCAGATGTATGTAGGTGAAGAAGGGACTGACATAGCTTCGTGGAAGAAAACTCTGGTCCTTAGTCTCACTGGGATGATTTTATGTTTAACGTGCTTCTTGAGTAGTAGGGTACAAATTGAAGATTAAAGGTGTATTTTTGAGACTAGCCCTAGATGTTGTTAAGCAGGAAGAAATTTAAAGAGGCCTAAGAAAGACTATAGATTGATCTTGAAATAGCATCTTACATTAATGTTTCCTTCTTTTATTCTTCAAAGTTTATTCTGTCAGAATTGATAGTCTGTTGATTTTCAGTCCATTGTTAATATTCTTTCTCTTTCTCTCTCTCTTTAACCAACACACGTAAACTGTTTTTGTTTTCCTCCTTCCCTATTTGAAGAACCTCTGGATGGGGTCAGAAAGCAATAACATCTTGTTAGGTGGGGGTTGGGTGTATATGGTGATAAAAATTGGGTATATGGGGAGGGTGGCCTATTGTCGGAGGTGGAGGCACTGTGGATCATATACCCCCCAAATTAGACGGTGTAAGTATATTACACAGAATATTAAAATAAGGGTCCATGAGTGTTTTAAGTAATATGTAGTCATTGTAGAGTAAGTTACAAATAGAGGAAACCACAAAGAAGAGAAACTATCACCAGCAGTATCTTCCACTTAGAGATATCTGCTTACTGTTTTGTTACAGATTATCTCAGTCCAAAAGAAGAACCCGTGTTTGTATATACAAACTTGTATATTTTGAGAGAACATTTGTATCTTGTAACCTGCCTCTTAAAATTCAACAGTATGTTGTAGGTCATTTTCCAGATCCTTTAGTATTTGTTTTCCTTGTTTTTAATTGCTGCATTGTGTTGTATCATCTTGAAATACTTTATTTACCTAGTTCACTGTTGTTGAATATATATATTGTCTTAACTTTCATAATGGCTTGTAAATAAATCTGCACACACCTATGATGGTTTCGCGGTATGGAATTGTTGGGTCAAAGACTCTTATGTTTAAGGCACTGGTGAGTTGCCTCCTGGAAGAGTTGTGCCCATTAACGCTCCCGGTGCAGGAGGCCCCTCACCATAGGCACACGGCATGGGCCACCGGCCAGACACTGGTAAGTTCATCGCAGTAGAGGAGATAAAACCTGAAGATTGGGCGACTCGCAGATTCACGTTGTGGAAAGAAGACGCTCTGGGGCAGAAAAACCAATTTTATCTTTTACCCAGTGTGTGATTGGCATCAGGCTCTAATAGGTATTAGTGTAATTAAGTTTGAGATTATTGGACATTGAGTTGCTGCATTGGCCACAACGGATGGACTGTTTCACTGTACTAGGTTGAAGTCTTTTCTGCTACAAGATTGAATTGTGTCCCGTCTACTGGCCGGCCTAGGATTCAGTTGGAGGGATGTATAGAACTGAACAGTTGCCACCTTGAAATATGCTTAAAAGGATATCCAACTGGATTCAGGAAAACATGGAAGGTGGCTGGGGTGCTTGGCTGGCTCAGTCGGTAGAGCATGCATCTCTTGACATCGGCCCCAGGTTGTGAGTTCGAGCACCACTTTGGGTCCTTAAGAGAGTACTTAAAAATAAAATCTTGAAGAAAAGATGAGCGATGGCTGGTAGCCTACATGCTTGGAATCTAGAGAAAATATTGCACAGGACTTTTGAAATGTTTACTGAACATCTTACTTGAATGTGCAGAGGTACTTCGCTCATCCACTGGTAGCTCTGTGCATTTCACTCTTGGGTCTTGGGAGAGACTGCAGAGAAGAGGCTAGGCAAATAATTGGCAAGAAAAGCAAACGGTTACAAGACTATTAACAATGCAGCCTTGTTTACCCACTCTGCCCGTCTGGATTTCTGTAACTGGATTCCTTAGCTCTGTGAACTAGTTAGCACAAGAGCTCTCCTTTTTTTGGGTGCTCGGAATTGTAAGCATGTCGAAGAGAACACAGCCTTGTATATCTTAGTTGGATGAGTGCATCCTGTCACTGTCGGGACGTGGGGGTGTAAAGGGATTAATAGTGAGAAGTGAGCTCGGAATGGTTTACGTGAGGAAGCCTGTGGAATTGCTTCTTAAGTCTGTTTGTGTTAAGGGCATCTCGGAGCGGGGAAGTTATGGAAATCAAAAGGCGATTGCTTTTGAAACCAGAAGTCTGCTGGTCACGGTTAAGAGTTTTTATTTGTAAAGCAAAGGAGCAAAGAAGAGACTAATTCATTTAATAGGTGGGGTTAGTTATGAGAAAGATCTAATTTTATTGTGCAGGCTCTTTCAAAGAGTAGCACTTCTAAGTAGTATCTGTTTTGTAAAATTTAAGTGACACTGTTACTTCCTCTCACTTGGTGACGATCTGTTAGTAAATCTTACGTTTTTATTGCAAGAATGAACAGACATTGGAGTACTAGGATACTTTTCTCCTCATTTTAACAATTTTGAAACAGTCATTTTGGGGGGGAAACAGGGAGACTAAGGGCAGAATTTAAAATATCATCCTTGTTCCTGTGAGAGAGGAGAGGAAATGTCTTAAGTTGTAAATCTGGTTTTAGGTCTTTCTTTTTCGCTTGTGTCAGAGGCTTACTGTAGCTGCTGGGGCAGATAATCCTCTCCCCGTTTTCATCCTCACCGTTGTTTTTCGTATTTCCTTCTGATTATCAATAAAAACATGATGAAAATTAACTTTTAGGAATGAAAGTGTTGAGTTCTGTCATCTGCTTAACAGCTGATTTTTGCATTTTATTTTCAGCACTGGTTAGATGGTACAAAGAGCATCAAAAAGCAAGTAAAAAGTAAGTGTTGAAAAATTGTGAACAAAAAGTAAATTTAATTAGATATAATTGTATATTAGAAGCTCTGATTCCTAATCAGTCATGTTCCAGATGCATTTCTTAGCATCCCTGCTTTTTAAAGGTAATTTCAATTTGATATACCGACCCACCCGTAAGTTATAGAGGGTTAACAGTAATCTAGATTCAGGTGCTGTATAGTTTATTTCCTGGAGAAAGACTTGCATCTTGCAAAAGAGATGGAGTTCTCATGAGATGCTTAACTTTTATATAGTAATTGTTGGACTTTTCCTGCTTGGCATCTGCCCTGCTCTATAAAATATTTTGAGACTCCATAGCTGTAACTTTTAAATTTAAGAGTAGTGAAATGAAACAATTGACATAAAATGCCAGTATTATCCTGGTAATAGGGAAAAATACCAGTGTTCAGTCCTAATCCAGTTTGTCTTTTGTAGTAGGAGAGCTTACAGAGCAACTCGCTTTTGTCCTTATGAAATAATGGGACCGCTGAGAATTAGAAGTTAGTGGAGTAGGTGAAGTGAATTGGAAAGTGTCGGGGGAAGTTGCCGTGAGCTGTTAATAACCCAGGCCTCCCTCAGTCCTTTTAAGAAGTACAGTGTGGCAGGTTTTTAGGGCTGTTAGATTGCACAGTCAAGACTTAACATTCGATGCATTTGGCCCTGAACTGTTAGAATTAATCTAGAGCTGTCTGTTTTGCGGAAGGCAGCTGATTGTGACGCTACTGTATGGTTGTTGGTATATTTCAAAAAAATATATACTGGTTGATATTTTTGTGTTAGGTGTGCTTAAAACCTTCTTAAAGGCTTTAATTAAGCCGTCTGCTGTGTAGGTGGGTGAAACATTACCACAAAACCCGTTACCTTCTCTCCCGACTTCAAGTAGATTATTTTTGACAAATTTACTGACTGGAAAATTCTTACAGTTGGAATAGTTATATTAAAAAATTAAAGGGTTTGTTTGTTTGTTTGTTTTAATACAGTTGGTTCACCCTATTGTCTGCATCTTCGAGTTAAATTTTATTCCTCAGAACCAAATAATCTTCGTGAAGAGTTAACCCGGTAAGATTCCTCTCGACAGTTGTGCAGGGGTGAAGTAGCTGTGGTCAGCTATCGATAGGTGCTGGCAGATTGTCTTTCTAATTCTTTCCAGTTTATAAACCACTCAGGAAGTGGATCTCTTGCCCCTGGTAGCAAGACCTCAGACAATAGGATTTCATTTGGGGACAATGTTTTATTTATTTTTAATTTTTATTATTTTTTAAAAATGTTTTACTTATTTCTGAGAGAGAGAGAGGGAGACAGTGTGAGCAGGGGAGGGTCAGAGAGAGGGAGACACAGAATCTGAAATAGGCTTCAGGCTCTGAGCTGTCAGCACAGAGCCCGATGCGGGGCTCAAACCCACGAACCGTGAGATCATGACTGGAGCCGAAGTCGGACGCTTAACCGACTGAGCCATCCAGGCACCCCTGGGGACAGTGCTTTAAAGTGTCGAATTTTTCCCCTTGATCAGTTTTCACAGTAAAGGGTTGATTCCCCAGCATTCTCTAAAGATGACTATAGATTCCTTTTTTAAAGTTTCATCAACACATGGGTTTTATTTACTTATTTACTTCTGTTTATTTATTTCTGAGAGTGTGTGCGGGCAGGGGAGGGGCAGAGAGAGAGGGACAGAGGATCTGAAGCGGGCTCCATGCTGACAGCAATGAGCCCGATGTGGATCTTGAACTCATAAACTCATGATCAGAGCTGAAGTCGGATGCTCGGCTGACTCAGCCACTCAGGTGCCCCTCAAAATGGGTTTTAAACAAGACTGATGTGTTTGAAAACATTGCCACATTATATTTATTGATGTTATGTTTGTTGGTGTTCAGAATGATCTCTCTTTGGCCACAGGGAGTTTATTCATGTTGGCTCCTAACATTCTTTACCTATTGAAATGCCACTGACTGATGAAAAATACTAAATCCTGATTTGGTTGGAATAGTTTTAAACAAACTTTAAGTAGGTTATACACAATTATTTCCATTTTGTCTTGCCTGCTTCATACTTATTCACTGATTATACATGGTAAATGTGTGATTCATTCACACACACTATTTATTAAGTAAAAATTGAGTCGCTGAGTCCCTTTAGGGGGTTTTCTCTTGAACCCTCTACCAGTGAGATTATAGCTATTCTCCATAGTTACATATATGCCTGTGTCCTTTCACATGTGAGGTGGTTTGTGTTGTGAGAATAATGTAAAATTCGGTCACAGAACTCATTCTCATTAATTTGCTTAAAACCTTTAATCTTAAGGTGGCTGTACTGTACTCAGTTACCTTCTGCAGATGCTACCATCCTCCGGATGGCTTATTGCCCCCCCATTTTTTTTCTTTTTCTTTCTTTCTTTTTTTTTTTTATAGATTCTATTGCAGGTCAAATTCTGTAATTAAGAATGTTTCGTCTCACATAAGAAGGGTAGGATTATTTTTCATAGTAGATTCCTCTCTTTAGCTAAATTTGTGCCTTTTCTTTCTCTTAGGTATTTATTTGTTCTTCAGTTAAAACAAGATATTCTCAGTGGAAAGTGAGTATTGGTTATTTAAGGTAAACCCCATTTTATTAAGTAGTTGAAAAAGAAGTTCATAATTAATTATGAAAAAAGAAATGGTCAGCATAAAGTAGGTATTATTTCCATTTATCTTAAAATAAACCTTGCAAAGTTGACTTGTCTAACAAATTTGGGTTTTGGTCGCAGATTAGAGTGTCCCTTTGATACGGCAGTGCAGTTGGCCGCTTATAATCTGCAAGGTAAGCAATTCTTACGCCAACTGATAAGAATAAAGCATAATTCGTTTTTGTGTGTTTTTAGTTAAGAATTTCAAAAGATTCAAAGTGATGGGTAAGAAATGTAACACCGCTGTTAACTTGTATCAATATCCAACCCTGTTACTTTCCTTCTTTTAAGAACAATGTTGCCTCCTTTTTCTTCCCTTTCACTTCATTTGCTCCCTCTGTCTGTAACTTCTTTTCAGACAGAATCACTGTCGACCTGACAATTCAGTAAATAGTATAAGGGGGCCTTCAGCTATTTTTTTTTTTTATTTGAAAAGAATGCAGGAACATAGCAGATTTTTGCAGTTTTATTTTTGCTTTCTTTAGTTTTATTCTTTAAGTTTTATTTATTTATTTTGAGGAAGAGAGAACATGAGTGTGAGCGGGGGAGGAGCAAAGAGAGCGAGAAAAAGAGAAACTCAGCTCCTCGCTGTCCGTGCACAGCCCAGCTCGGGCTCGGTGTCAAGAAGTGGGAGACCATGACCTGAGCTGAAACCAAGAGTCAAATGCGTAACTGCCTGAGCCATCCAGGCGGCCCTCTTTAGTTTTATTCTTAAAAATGAATCCATGAAAAATACTTAGAGCATATTTAAAAGTCCCTGATGGTTATTTTAACAGTGAAGAAAGTATTTTCCAATAAATGAAGTTAATGAAAAAACTTACAATTTTGTACCTTGGTATACTGATGAAATACTGTTAAGTTGAGGTATTTTTTTCTGAAAAATTGACATTTTAAGAAAACTGTAATTTTGGTCCTCATTCACAAAATGGCAACTATTCTGTTGGAGTATCTCTATATACTAGAATAAAAATAAAATTATATGGTTATCAAGGCATTTATACTTTTTTTGGTGACTATGTATTTATCCCTAATCCCTCTAGGATTGGTAGTCTTTATTTGCAATTGTGTGGATAATAATAAGACCAAATTTTTATGTTTTTATGGTAAACCCAGTATTTTTGCTATTTTGTGCTTCCACAATTTAAGGAGATGATTTTCCTATTGCTAGAGGGATTGGTGACTGCAGGAATTTTCTGTGCTTCAGAAATTCATTACCAGCACAACCTGCCTCCACCCCCCGTGCTAGTCTGTCTACAAATTAAGATTTGTTTTCTCATCTGCAGAATGTCCGACAGCTAGTAGCTTGGAAATGCCATGCCTCTCCCACCGTAATAGTCCAAAATGTATAACTGCATGGGTCTTTCCTTGAAAGCACACATTTTATATGTCATAAATTCCCATGTGAGGTTGATGATTCTAAACTTTCATCTAATGAAAAGGTGTCTTTTCATGTTCTTTCTGTGTCTCATTGTGTGCGTTTCATGACAGCCAAGATATGTGCTTCTCGAAAATGACTTTATACATTTTTGTGTATTTAATGAAATGCTGTTCAAAGTAGTGCTAACTACATATTTTTTTAATGTTTATTTATTATTATTTTTTAATGTTTGTTTATTTTTGAGAGAGAGAGAACATGCAGGGGAGGAACAGAGAGAAAGGGAGACACAGAATCCAAAGCAGGCTCCAGGCTCTGAGCTGCCAGCACAGAGCCCAATGTGGGGCTCGAACCCATGGAGCTGAAGTCAGACTTTTAACCAACTAAGTCCCCCAGGTGCCCCTAAATGCTTATTGTTTGATTTATGTGTTGTGGCTCTATTTTGTGATCTCTTAACTCTACTTATCACATTTTTTCCTAAGTAAAAGCTCTTCCCTACTTTCTCTTTCATCCACAGCACCGTGATTTGCATGATTCCTCCACACTTCATGTCACGTCTTGTGCATCTCTGGGTCCCGTGTCCAATATTTTGCTAAATCCAAAGTCTTAAAGTCCTTAAGAATAAATTTGCTGAAGTACTATTCCATCTTCCTGGAATGAGCTCTTTGTTTTTCATTTATGATTTTCTATTTTATCAGAATAATTTTCGTTATTAGTTTTTTCTCATACTTTCAACTCAGTTTCTCCTTGCCATTTTAATATATGCCCTGATCAATATTATGTAGCAGATTTGGTTTAGTGCTTCTAAAAACATGATCCAAAAAAACTAAAATAAAACAGACAAAAAACCCATTATGATCCAGACAAAAGAGTAATCTCTTCAGCAACAAATTGGGCATGATAATAACTATTTTCCAAGGTTGTTGAGAAAATGGATGACAGTATATCTGTAATATGTCAAGTGTGTAGACTCCGTAGTCAGTAAATAATGAGTTCTTACCATGTTTGTTATTATCTCAGGATCTGTGGATTTTTTTTTTCTCTACACAGCTGGATTTTTTAATAAAAACGGAACTATTTTAATTTTTAAATGTGACTAAAATGTTCTTTAAAAGGAAAAATGTCTAAAGTACAGAAAATATTAGAATCATTTTTCTTTTCTTCTCCAAACCCCACAGTTCAGAGATAACCACAGATGGGCACATAACTATTTGTGCCCTGCCCAAGTGTTTTCTGACTGCCTCCCTTCCCCAGATATTTTTTTACTAACTTTTTTAGGATTAACTATTTACAATTCCAGGAGGACAGAGACTGCATCTTGTAGCGGTGTATGATGCGTTCTCTGCACGTTAGATCCTTTTTGAAAAAAAAAAAATTATTTTTGAGAGAGAGAGACAGAGACAGAGCACAAGCTGGGGAGGGGCAGAGAGAGAGAGACACAGTATCCGAAGCAGGCTCCAGGCTCCAAGCTGTCAGCACAGAGCCCGACGTGGGGCTCAAACCCACAAACCATGAGATCATGACCTGAGCCAAAGTCGGATGCCTAACTGACTGAACCACCCAGGCACTTCGCTGCATATTGGATTCTTAACAGATGTTGGCTAAATGGCTTTTTAAAGGTTGCTAAATAGTTTTGTTCATTCATTATAAGGCCAAAAGGTATTTCTCTAAGGGAATCTAGAGAGAAGTTTTCAAAAGCTAAGTGTTATAAGATAGGAAATAAATGAACAGAAGCACATATATATGAAATTATACCACCAACCACCAGTACATGATTGTGTGTATAGATGTTGACATGTTGTAAGTCCAAGCTAGATTTATTTTTGGGAATGATTTGGGTATTATGAATTACTATAGTTTAAGAAAGAACCTTTCTAATCTTAGCAGTTTTGTAAAAAAATTTTCTTAATGTTTATTCATTTTTGAGAGAGAGAGGGAGGCACAGAATCCAAAGCAGGCACCAGGCTCTGAACTGTCAGCACAGAGCCCAAAGCAGGGCTTGAATTTATGAACCACAAGATTTTGACCTGAGCTGAAGTTGGACGCTTAGCTGACTGAGTCCCCCAGGCGCCCCTTAGCAGTTTTTATTAATAAAATGAATTCTGAAGGAAGATTCAGCAGGAAATGAATTTAACTAACAAAATAAAACTTTCTGGAACTTATGTTTGTAGCTGAACTTGGTGACTATGATCTTGCTGAGCATAGTCCTGAGCTTGTGTCCGAGTTTCGCTTCGTGCCCATTCAGACTGAAGAGATGGAGCTGGCTATTTTTGAGAAATGGAAGGAATACAGGTACTTGACTAGTGATCACACTTTTCCTTAATGTCACAGCAATGATTTTGTACTTGTTTTCTTCTTTTTCTGTCCTTGGTATAGAATTTACATTTATTATTATTCAAAGTTGTTATTTTTTAAATTTCAGAGGTCAAACACCAGCACAAGCTGAAACCAATTACCTGAATAAAGCCAAATGGTTAGAAATGTATGGGGTTGATATGCATGTGGTCAAGGTAAGAACTGTGTTGTGATGATTTTTGAAAGTTTATTCCTTGTAGATTCAAGGTAACTATGACATTTATTCCTTCTAGATTCAAGGAAACTATGACATTTTTCAATATGAAGGAGGGCATGGAGGTAGCATAGGATAGCCCTGGATACTTTGGATGTGTTATAAAGGTTGAGATTAAATATGAGAATCTCACATAAAGTTTCAGTATAAGAAAGAAGGGAAACAACCAAAATCTCCAAAAAGGTGTATCTGTGCTTTTAAGGTGTTACTGTGTTTTTTAGATTTTTAAACCACTTTTTATTATTTGCCTTCATATTCATATCCTCTTGGCTCACATAAAGTGGAGGAGGCTATGTAAAAATTAAAATAATTCAGGAAGCAGAGCTGAAAATTTATAGCTTGAGAAGACTTTGGTAAGCTGTAATAAAGCTTGTATATATTATTTTTTAATTTTTTTAAATGTTTTATTTATTTCTAGGAGAGAGAGAGAGCGTGAGCAGGGGAGGGTCAGAGAGAGAGGGAGTCACAGACTGAAACAGGCTTCAGGCTCTGAGCTGGCAGTCAGCACAGAGCCCGACGCGGGGCTCGAACCCACGAACCGCGAGATCATGACCTAAGTGAAAGTCGGACGCTTAACCGACTAAGCCACCCAGGCGACCCATAAAGCTTGTATATTGATTTAACTTATCTCTAGTTTCAAAAGCTAAATTTTCCCAGAAAGGCAGTCTTTTTAAAGTTTATTTATTTAGAGAGCGCTAGTGTGTGAGTGCACGTGCGTGCAGGGGTGGGGCAGCAAGCAAGGGAGAGAGAATCTCAAGCAGGCTCTATGCTGCCAGCACAGAACTAAACGTGAGGCATGATCTCCTAAAACGTGAGATCGTGACTTGAGCCAAAATCAGGAGTGAGATGTTCAACCGACTGAGCCACCCAGGCACCCCCAGAAATGCAGTCTTTTTAAAAACGTGTGATAAGCGGTGAATAGGCTACAGGCAGAATCTGCAGAGTGCGTTCTGTGTCGTGGAAGTGCTCCTGTGTGTTTTCAGTGATGACCTGCCTCAAGACTGTGGTGTCAACTGTGAACTAAACGTCTGCGTGAGTTTTCCCGAGAATGTTATTTTGGGTATTTCTATGTGTTGCAAACACTTTGTATGTTAATATTAGCCTGTGTATAGTTACTATGATTCAGTGTGAAAATAAAACTAAACTGCTGTGTGAAAATGTGAAATCTGTCTTATGCCAATAAAGTTAACATATTTTGCTTTCCTTAAATCAGGCTAGAGATGGGAATGACTACAGCTTGGGACTAACCCCCACGGGAGTCCTTGTTTTTGAAGGAGAGACCAAAATTGGCTTATTTTTTTGGTAAGCAGAGTTAATATTACAGAATCTTATTGTATTTATTTATTTATTTATGCATTCATTTATTTTTTTAAATTTTTTATGAATAAAAACATTTCTGTCAAGTTAATCCATAAAACAGAGTTTGGAGATGAGATAATTGTGAATGAAAGTCACCTGTCGCCTGTCTGACTCCTTCCCCATCCTTGTCCCATCCCCCAGAGGTAATGTTTAAAACTCTTCCATCCATTTTTCTATTAGTTTCAAGTTACGTCAGTATACATCTCTTGATACATATTCTTTATTCCTACACGTATTAAGTGTTCACATGGACATTCTCACATCATGTGCTTATTACAGCACTATTTTTAGGACTTCTTGTGCCACAGGCAGCCACAGTACCCCAGATTCCCTGGTGTGTAAGAGGAAGAAATTTCCTCCTCCCTTTAAGCTGTGCTTCTCTTCTTAGGTCCCGGCTTGACTCCAAGTTTAAAATTATATTTGCATTTCAGTATCGAAGATAGGTTTTACTTGGATTTCGTAGCCATCATAGACTTCTTCACATCTTGTCTGGTCTGTTCTAAAAGCAGAAACTCAGGAAGTAGGGTTCATGTTGTTATCCGTGTATCAGAAGTGGTGTAGAGCTTCACACTGTACTGGTGTTATAAACACTGGCCGAAGGGCCCTTAGGCCGTTTACGTGTTCACAGCATGCCAGGGTTGTTAGCTCAAAGCCGACCAGCACCAAATTCAAATTCTTATATATCCAATTACTGTAAATATAGCCCAATAAGTATATTTTTAATCATTTAGAGCCTTCCTGCTTTGCACGTCCTCCTATGAACTATATCTGCCGTCTGCTCATCAGAGATGTGACAAAAGCCTGTAGCTGTACAAGACACAAAGCACCACTGCCCTTCAGAGCTCTCTGACCTGGAGACTTCCCACTTGCTGCTAACTGCCACTGCGCAGACCCCCCAATGCCCCGTCTGAGTCCCTTCCTCCTACAAGTTCCCTGCTGCCTTCCCCTTCTTTGGGGGTGGCTTCGTGCAGCCAGCTCTGGACAGCCTCCTGTTGTCAAGGACTTCCTTCTCCTGCGACCCGGTCCAAACACCCTTCAGTAGAGTGTGCTGTACAGTAGAGATAGGTCCTGATCCTTCCTTTCTGATCAGTCTGGAAATGCTTGGACCCACAACTGGGATTACATTTTCTTTGTGTACAGGTTTTTGTTTTTCCTGGCATTTTTGGCTTCCCCGTCTCTCACAGCCCATGCAGTGCTTTAAATTACCTGCCTTTGTCTTCTCCTTACGCTCTTTCAGATCCCCAGGCTTGCGCTAAATGATTCTTCTGTTCCAGTTGGAATTGTATGCTCTCAAGGCGACTCTACAGCTTTCATTAGTTTTTTCCGCTAGGATCCTGTGTGTCTTCTTCCCATTATTTTCCTCTCTTTGCTTTTGTTTTTTTCTGGTCTGTATCTTCAGGTAACTGCCTAAGAGAAGCAGGGTGTAGGAGATAAATTGTTTGAATCCCCGAATGCCTTAAAATGGTGTATTCTTCTCTTATGCTTTCTTGGTAATTGGGCTGAGAATAGAATTTTAGGTTCGAAAATTATTTTCCTTCAAAGTTGAAGATAGATTTCATTTATTTTTGAGTCCAGGTATCCATGCTGGGGACTTTCTGAGACGCTCGAGTGGAACACCTTCTTAATTGTCTCCTGATAGGTGAAGGGGCTTTGGGGTATTTATTTACCCAGTCGTTGAGTGTTAATTCTCTGACACTTCCAGCTTGCCCTGTGGGCAGATGGCACATACTTCACGCCTAGAGAATGCTGTGGGCAGAGAGTTGAAGGAAGCACCTTTTCTACCGCCGCTGTGGTGGTTGTGAGAATCAGTTGGGTCGATGCATGTAGAACACTTCCAGGAGTACGGGACACTTACTAGGCACTGTGCGAGTCTTTGTGACACTTAAGTGCTCGCTCCTCCCCTCCTGCTCCGCCTGTTACTCTTAGCTACTTACTTGTTCAGTACAACCCTTGTAAACAAATGCTCTACAATTATATTTAGTATAAGTTATATTTAAAAATTAGCGAGAATGAGAGTTTCATTGTTTTGACGTTCACAGTTCATAGAAGTACAGAGTTCACCTGTGGTAGGTTGTTGAGGATTTCGGTCCAGGTGGGAGACAGTTGGAAAGGGCACCATAAAGCGAGGTTTAAAAAAACTTTTCTTGTTTTCAGATTAAAGAGGTACTTCTTCAAACCAAAACTGATATAGAAAATAAAGTTGAAGGCCTGAATCAAGAATTTGTTTGCATTTAAGCCTTTAAAAAAAAAAACGCTTACAGTCTTTCCTGTGTCCAGCTCCTATGCTGCAGCTCTGCACCAGTCCTGGAGAACGCCTTGTATCGTGGCTGGGAACCTATGAAATGTATAAGTGGATTTCATCATTTTCTTTTTTCTTAACATTTCTACTGTCTGATACATGTGCAGCATCAGTGTTATTCGAGATCCTGCTTTTGAAATGTTTTTTTCTGTTATCTGAAATAGTTTTCAGAGGCTTTGTTGGTGGGCAGTACAGGCTAAGAGGGTAAACACCCTCTTAATCAATTTTCAGTTCAGCAGGTAGATGATTGATAATGCTGGCAATAACAACAATTCCCTTTTAATTTCAAGGACATTTATTTGAAATCTGGCTTTTGTTCTGATATTGTTATAGGCCCAAGATCACCAGATTGGATTTTAAGAAGAATAAATTAACCCTGGTGGTTGTAGAAGATGATGACCAGGTAGGAATTGGATTGCATTATTTATTTAACAATGACTATGTTATGTGGGGACTCAAGTCTAAATTTTTTTTTTTTTTTTTTTTTTTTTTTGAGAAAGAGGAAGAGCACGGGCACGTGTGCACACAAGTGGGAGAGGGACAGAGAGAGAATCCCAAGCAGGCTCCATGCCCAGCACGGAGCCCAGCGCGGGGCTTGATCTCACAACCATGAGGTCATGACCTGAGCCAAAATCCAGAGTTGGACACTTAACTGACTGAATTGCCCAGGAGCCCCTATTATTCTTTAATGAAGGCTTCTAAATTAATATTCTTTAATAGAGCCTTCTCAGTTAAGGATTACTCTGCCCCCCGCCGCCCCGCCCCAGGTTAACTCTAGTTCCCAATTGATAAACAAAACATGCATCTCAGATGCATTATACCAAGTGAAAGAAGCCAGACTCAGATTATGACTTGTATGATTTCATTTATATGACAATCTGGGGAGGACAGTCTTCTAATAATGGAACAGATCACTGATTGATTGGGATTAGGGAGAATGAGGAGGCTTGATTACAAGGAAACAGCAAAGGGAATTTAGGGGCATGAGAGAACTTTTCTATAACCAGATTTTGGTGGTAGTTGCTAGACTCCACGCCATTTGTCAAAATTCACAGAATTATGAATAAATTTTAAAAAGCAACTGTATTCCATGCAAAGAAATAAATTGAAAAACATACCTAATACATGGACATAGATAAAAGCAAGTTGAACAGTTGTATGCACAATGATGTGTGAGAAGGACCACTTAACAAAACTTTTAAGAAGATTCTGAAAATTAGTCGAAACAGTGGTATTACTAAGTTTTATTACTAAGATACATGCAAAGGATTGCCCTTTCACCCAACTTAGAAGGAAATTACAGAGGCAACAGAACATTTCATAAAGACATCTATTGAGGGGACACCTGGGTGTCTCAGTTGGTTAAATATCCGACTTCGGCTCAGGTCCTGATCTCACAGCTCATGAGTTTGAGCCCCGTGTCGGACTCTGTGCTGACAGCTCAGAGTCTGGAGCCTGCTTCAGATTTTTTGTCTTCCTCTCTCTCTGCCCCTCCCCTGCTCATGCTCTGTCTCTCTCTCTCAAAAATAAATGAACATTAAAAAAAATCTGTTGGGGGACCTGGGTTGCTCAGTCAGTTAAGTAAGTGTCTGACTTCAGCTTAGGTCATGACCCCATGGTTTGTGAGTTCGCGCCCTGAGTCAGGCTCTGTGCTAACAACTGAGAGTCTGGAACCTACTTCAGATTCTGTATCTCCCTCTCTCTCTCTGCCCCTCCCAAACTCGCACTCTGTCTGTCTCGGTCTCTCTCTTTTTCTTTCTCTCTCTCTCTCAAAAATAAACACGCATTAAAAAAATATTAAAAAAAGGAAATCTGATGGCACAGAGGATGATCATTATATTGTCAACAGATGGATTAGCAAGACTCAGAAGGTGCAGATTTCACATGTAAAAACAACTTATTTTACAAAGATTTTCCTTTTTATGTAAGCACATATGTGATTAAATGATATTTGTATCTAAATCTAAAGGCAGTTCTTCAGAAAGAATAAAATACAATTCTATGTGATGGGAAATATGGTCATAATTTAATTGGTGACACTTGTTCTCATTTGGGCCATAAAATAATCATGCATCTTACAATTGATGGCATTTTAGATTTGATCTTACATAGTTATTACCTTCTTGGATAACTTTGTGAAGGTATTTTACACACACATACGTGTATATCAATTCTTTTTTATACAGAAGTTACCATGCTTTTAGACTGTTCTGTACTAATCCTTTTGAAACTTTATAACTTTTGGAATCTTTTCCATCTGAGTATATAGAATGCTTCTTGGTTATTATATTAAAAAGCAAACTAAACTGCATACGATTCTGTGTGGATGTACCCTAAGTGTTTCAGTATGCAGTATACATTATTCAGCATATATGTATGAATTTGTACATTGGCAAATATCTGTAGGATAACTTCCTGGAGGTGGACTTGCTGGTTCAAATGGTTACGTGCACTTGTCCTGGGTAACAGAGGTCCTATCAGGGATCAAACCTGTTTCTTCAGAGGGAGTTGTCACATTTTTATCTGAAAAGTAAACAGTGGAATTTCGTTGTAGGTTTAATTTTTATTTCTGTTGCTATGAGTGATACTGCACATTTGTCATACGTCTTGTTGTTTATATTTCCTTTTCTCAGAGCTCTTGTCGTCTCCTTTGCCCATTTTGTCATTGGGCCTTTTTTTCTTACTGGTTTGTTTTGCCTTTCATCATAGAAATTGTAAATCTTGTATCTAATAGTTGTTTGTCTCTTAATGTTATTTATTGTGATTTTTGCTACATACCTTAAAAAATTTTAAATCGGCAAAGTTATCAATCTTTCATGACCTAGGGGAGGGTTTTTACTACTTTGAGGTTATGTGTTTCTCCGTGGTTTTTCTGTGTGTATTTTTCATTGGTAAATTTCACTGAAATCTAGCATACATTCAGATAAGTGTAGTAACAAGTGGGCAGCGTGTTGGATTTTCACAAACACCTATATGGCCAGCACCCAGTTGGAGAAATAGAACTATACACTCCTGTGTCTCCCACCACCTAGAGTCCTCCAGGCATGTCCTCCTGTCCTGACGTTACCACCAGACACTCGTCTTTGTTTATATCTTATGCTTTATCCAAACGAAACCTGACTGTTCCCTCTGTGTCTACTTCTTTATTTTAAATATTATATTTGTGAGCCTTCCCCCTCTTGCAGCCGGTTGCTGTAGTTGGCTCATTCATACTGTTACCTAGTATTCCCTCTGAGGGATAGACTGCACTTATTTATCCATCCTGTTGTTGATGGACAGCTGAGTTGTTTTTGTTTTCGCTGCTCAGAGTGCTGCTCTGAAGATGAGGATATGCGTGTGTTTGCTTTCAGTGGGTACTGCAGAGCTGTTGTCAGAAGTGTTTATACAAGTTTGTATTTCCCCCTACAATGTGAGTGAGTTCCACTGGTTCTTTCGTGGCTAATGTTTGGTATTCTCTTTTTCCTTGTAGCCATTCTGTTGATAAAATGGTTTTATGCTTTTGGTTTGCATTCCCCTCATCACTGTTTGTTTAGCACTTAGTTATGTACTTATTGAATATTTGGGTCTTCTCTTTTATGAATTGCCTGTTCAACTCTTGCTCATTTTTCTCTTGGGTCGTGTGCTCTTTTTCCTCACTGAAGTTCTTTATGTGTTGTGGGCATCAGTTCTTTGCAGATCTGTGTGTTGTAAGTATCCTCCCCCTTGGCTTGCCTTTTGACTCCCTTACTAGTAAGTTTTGGATAGTGTGTTTCAATTTTAATGCAGTAGAGTTTATAACTATTTTCCTTTGTGGTCAGTACTTTCTGTGTCTTAAAAGTTAAGAATTTTTGCCTGTATCAAGGTCAGGAAATATCTTCATATAGTTTATTTTGTCATTTTAAAATATTATATAGTGTAGTTCATAAAATATTCAAAGTCTACTGCAAACTACAAAAAACCATAAACTTGCTATCCATTTTACTCCTCTGGATTAACGTTTTTAGCATAGTTGCTTCAGAATTGTCTCTTAGACATAGGCAAATTCATATCAGTGTATTCAGGGGCACCGGGGGTGGGGCTCATTCGGTTAAGCATCCAACTTTTGGTTTCGGCTCAGGTCATGATCTCACAGTTGGTGAGGTTGAGCCCTGTGTCGGGGTTCTTTCCCTCTCTCTCTGCCCCTGCCCTGCTCTCACTCTCCCTCTGGCCCTCCCCCATTCGTGCTCTCTCTTAAATAAATAAATTTAAAACATAACTGTGTCTTCAGTACAATGAGGTATAATCCTCTAGCTGCCCATCATTCTTGGAGGGTGTCACTCTCCTACTTCCTTTTTCCAAATACAAATACATCATAATACATGGTGGGATTGTTTTAAAAATTTACATAAATCATATATATATTTTTGGCAGTTTCCGTAGATTACCTAAACAGGTGTAGCCGTGTAGATATCAGTTCATTCATTTTAACCTATATATTGTATTTTGTAATATGAATAAACAGTTGTGAATTCATCTTTTATTCATTTATCTTTTTGTATCTTTTTTAAAGATGTTATTATTTACTTGATAATTTTTTTGGACTTTAGGGTTTTATTACAATATTTACTATTATGAATGAGATTGTGAAGAAAATCTTTGGATATGCATTTTGGTGTTAAGAAAATTTTTCTTCCTAAAGAGATGGCGAAGCTTAATTGTTATAAACAGGTCCTGGAGCACAAATAGTTAGGTTCAGTTTCTGATTTCCTCTTGGTGCCCTTGGGCTTTATTTCTTAAGCTTCAGTTCCTTATCGATGAAATGGAGCTAATGATAATATCTACTCATTGAATTAATCCATGTGAAATCCTTAAAAACTGCCTATGAATGTTAATTATTACAATTAGATTTCCGGGACTGTGGTTACTGTGACAAAGAATGAACACCATGTTTGTTTGTTTGTTTCAGTATTTTTATTTATTTGAGAGAGACAGAGCCTGTGGGGGGGAGGGCAGAGAGAGAGGGAGACACAGAATCCGAAGCAGGCTCCAGGCTCTGAGCTCTCAGCACAGAGCCTGATGCGGGGCTCGAACCCACACACTGTGAGATCATGACCTGAACTGAAATCGGATGCTTAACTGACTGGGCCACCCAGGTGCCCTGAGGAATGTGTACCTTTTTAAGTCTGTTGATATATATTGCCAGATCTTGTATGATCATTTACATTGTAATTCTGTATTTATCCCAGAGTATGGCAAATAAAACTTCACTTTATGTTTCTCTAAGAATTGAGGTCACGTAAGTAGAGAGGACCCTCTTAGGAGTAATTTTATATTGGCTGTGAAAGTGGACAGCTTGATTTCAACGGCCATTTTTATAGGTAGCTGTAGAGAATGTTCTAGTTTCAGGGGGCAAACTAGCTGCTTTATTATTCTGTTCTTGGTATTGTCGTGGCTGTCGTTATAGCTGAGTAACAAAGGACAGGACTGTTTGACCTAATAATTACCTCTCTTTATATCCTTTTTTTTTCCTCCAGGGCAAAGAGCAGGAGCATACATTTATCTTCAGGTTGGATCATCCGAAGGCATGCAAACATTTATGGAAATGTGCCGTGGAACACCATGCCTTCTTTCGCCTCCGAGGCCCAGTCCAAAAGAGTTCTCATCGATCAGGATTTATTCGACTAGGATCACGGTTTAGATACAGGTGGATGTCAATATCTGCTTGCCCTATCTTTCATTCTTTCATAAAGCAAACAGTTTAGGCCAACCTCTCATTTTGCAGATGTAGAAGCCAAGGCATAGAGAAACAAAGTGGTTTCTGGTGTTTTCCACTGGCTGGAATAAAAGACAAAGTGAAATTGTTATTGGTTGTAATTTCCTTTTTTCTTTTAAAGTTTATTTTTTTTTAATTTTTTTTTTTTTTTAAGGTTTTTTTAATTTATTTCTAGAGAGAGAGAGAGAGCGTGAGCAGGAGAGGGTCAGAGAGAGAGGGAGTCACAGACTGAAACAGGCTCCAGGCTCTGAGCTGGCAGTCAGCACAGAGCCCGACGCGGGGCTCGAACCCACGAACCGTGAGATCATGACCTGAGCGAAAGTCGGACGCTTAACCGACTAAGCCACCCAGGCGCCCCTAAAGTTTATTTTTATTTATTTTGAGAGCTGCAGAGAGAGGGGGAGACAGAATCCCAAGCAGGCTCCACGCTGACAGCGCCATTGTAATTTTCTGAGTAGACACGAAAACATTATAATGGTATAATGGATTCTGTATCCCTCTTGACATTTACATTTTATATTAATTAATCCTCCACTTAAATTCATATAATAAGAGTTGTAAGGAGTCTCCATCCATTAGCTGAATAGAGAAAGGGTATTGTGCACCGAGTGGAAAATGCATCTGGGTAAGATTTCTGGTCCTTTATAAAACGGAAGTCATTTTTAGAGACTCCTGTGTGTTGGTCATAAATTAGAAATGTTTTGGTTGACCTGGGAACAGGTTATTACGAGTTTTCAGTGTGCCATAAGTGGCACTGTGATTAAAGAGGCAATGGGTACTGTCAGTGTGTGGTAAGGTGATCACATGGGTGGGATTGATGTAAGTAGAGTTCTCCTGTACCTATAGTAAAAGTGAGGAGGCATTTTCTTAACAATTTAAGTGGAAATCAAAGAGAGCGGGAAAATAGTTTTAAATATTTCTGGAAAATTCTTCTGAAAAATGTATCACAATTCAATAATAAGAAGCCTTGAGTTAATTGCACCCTTTGCATGAGGTGAGTGAGAGAGGAGGGGAGAGGAGTTGCATCAGAGGGCGGATGCTCCACTCTTACTCAGCATGAGCTTCGGTAGATGCAGTATACCGAAGGAAAAGACAATATAATTTACAAGTTGCCTGTTTCACACAAGCCGGAAGAGTAGAAGAATGATGTGCTAAAGACAGACGTCAAGCCTGTTAGTAGTAGTTCCTTTCAGATGAAGATCAGAATGGTTCTTTTAAGGTCAGCCTTAATATAGACTTTTTCTCATCTGTGTCTGATTACCGGAGTCCTCAAATTCTCTTATTCTTGTTAATGTGCCTCGTTTATTTTAGTGGGAAAACTGAGTATCAGACCACAAAAACCAATAAAGCAAGGAGATCAACATCCTTTGAAAGAAGACCCAGCAAACGCTACTCTCGACGAACTCTACAAATGAAAGGTGAGACACAGTCCCGTTTCAAAGGACTGTTCTGCCTTGACAGTCCCTCGTGTGCTGCTCCATGGTTTACTTGAAAGGGAGTTAGCTGAACCTTAGGTTTATCCCAGTCAACCAGGGTACCCTTGTTTATTAGCTTTGGTTATGACAGAATCAGTATAAGAAAATAGAAGGAAAACTTGCTTATGTTGTTGCTGAGATTAAACTCAATGTTGATCCCATTTCAGACTCTATTTGGAGTTTGTGTTCAGTTTTTGTTTCTATTAACTGTTTTAGTTCTGTAGAGTAGCGCCTTCCCTCCCTTTTTGACTTCCTGATTTTTGCATTAATAACCTCTCAGGGCGCCTGGTGGCTTGGTCAGTTCAGTGTCTTTTTTTGTTTGTTTATCTTGAGAGAGAGCACGCAGTCAGGGGAAGGACAGAGAAGGGGGTTGAGCATCCCCGGCGGCCCCTGTGCTGTCCGCGTGCAGCCGAATGCTGGGCTGGACTCTGGGCTCAGTCTCACAAACCCTGAAGTTATGACCGAGCTGAAATCAAGATCAGAGGCTTAACTGACCAAGATACCCGGGTGCTCCAAGTGTCTGAGTCTTGATCTCAGTTTAGGTCTTGATCTGAGTCTTGCGTTCAAGCCTGAGCTGGGCTCGATGCTGGATGTGGAGCTTACTTAAAAAAAAAAAAAAAAAAAAATCTCTCAAATGTCTTTAGGAACTTTAAAAAAAACCATTGGTGTACAATGAATACATTTTAAGTAAAAATCATTTCAGGGGCGCCTGTGGCCCAGTTGATAGAGCGTCCAACTCTTGATTTCAGCTCAGGGCATGATCTCACGTTTGTGGGTTTGAACCCCAAGTCCAGCTCTGGACTGGCAGTGCAGAACCTGCCTGGGATTCTCTCTTTCTCTCTCTGCCCCTCCCCACTTGAGCACATGCACATACACGCCTGCTCTCTCTCTCTCTCTCAAAAAAAGTAAACTTAAAAAAATGTTACTTTGTATAGCATTATAATATTAAGATTTTATTATAGTGTTTAAATTTAAATATTAATGTACATTTAAATTAATTTATGGGGGCGCCTGGGTGGCTTAGTCGGTTAAGCGTCCGACTTTCACCTAGGTCATGATCTCGCGGTTCGTGGGTTCGGGCCCCGCATCGGGCTCTGTGCTGACTGCCAGCTCAGAGCCTGGAGCCTGTGTCAGTCTGTGACTCCCTCTCTCTCTGATCCTCCCCTGCTCACGCTGTCTCTCTCTCTCTCTCCTAGAAATAAAATTTAAAAAAAAATAAATAAATAAAAAAAAAATAAATTAATTTATGTACTAAAAAGTCTAATTTTATTTAATTTTTAAAAAAATTTTTAAATATTTTTTATTTATTTCTGAGAGAGAGAGACAGCATGAGCAGGGGAGGGTCAGAGAGAGAGGGAGACACAGAATCTGAAGTAGGCTTCAGGCTCTGAGCTGTCAGCACAGAACCCAGCACGGAACTTGAACCCACAAACCGTGAGATCATGACCTGAGCCGAAGTCAGACGCTTAACCGACTAAGCCACCCAGGCGCCCCAGCTTAATTTTATTAAAAAAAATTTTTTTTTTAATGTTTTATTTCTTTTTGAGAGAGAGAGACCGTGTGAGCAGGGGAGGGTCAGAGGGAGAGGGAGACACAGAATCCGAAGGAGGCTCCAGGCTCTGAGCTAGCTGTCAGCACAGAGCCCGACGTGGGGCTCGAACCCACGAACCCTGTGGGTTCATGAGATCATGACCAGAGCTGAAGTCAGACGCTTAACTGACTGAGCCACCCAGGCGTCCCATAAAAAGCTTAATTTTAAACTAAAACTTGTATTTGGTTTTGAATCTGAGTTTATATCCAAATACAGGTTGAAATTTAAGTGTATCTGATGCTAGGGCCATCCCGGTTGTCCAAAAACATGACTTGATGTTTGACGTAAGAAATTGATTTATAGCCCTAATTTTTGTGTAGTATGGCCATAAAGCAAATAATAGAGCAATTAATGAGGCCACTTTAGTTTGTGAGGGTTTAAAACCCCAAGTTACCTCTCATTTTCTACTAACGATGTTTTGTTGGCACTTAACTCACTCTAGGAGGCTTGCACATGCTTCTGTTGTAAAAGAAAATGGTATTTATTTTATTGCTTTATTTTTAAAACGGAAATAATTGTCGTTACTGATTTTAGTGATGTGAATCCTAGAACATTTTGTCAAATGGGGTTTTTAAATCTATAGTTGGGAAACGTGACTTGGGAAAACAGTCCTGTGCCTGCGGGATTAAGTGTCTCTTGGTTTCAGCTCAGGTCATGATCTCACAGTTCGTGGGTTCAGGCCCTGAGTTGGGCTCCGCACTGATGGCAGGGAGCCTGCTAGGTATTCTGTCTCCGCCCCCCCCCCCGCCCCCTCCCACTGCCTCTGTCTATCTGTCTCTCTCTCTCAAAATAAATAAACCTTAAAAAAATCAGTCCAGATTTACTTTTATGAACAGTGAAGCAGTTTACCATGTAAGTGGAAACTAATGGGATATTTTCTTTTTTCCCCTCTATCAGCAAGTACAGCAAAACCTGAAGAACTCAGGTGAGTAGTGTCTTCCAACTTAGGAGCATGTTTTAGAATTCATGTAGTTGCTGTCATTAATTAACAAATACTTGTTGAAGACCTGTCAGTGTATTAAGTTGTTCCTTAGCATTGGGAATATAGCAGGAACAAATGTGATACCAGATAAAATTGACAAAGAAAAATAAAACAGTTTAGAAATAAAGACCAGGTTGGGAGTGGATATGATATTTGTAACGAGAATGACCTATATTTGTTATTGAACTGTGACTGAGGATGTAAAGATGAATAAATTAGGATTCTTGCACACAGGGAGCTCAAAGAACAAAGTTTTATTTGCAGACGAGCAATTAATCTTATTCCTGGGATAAACCCCACTTGGTCATGGTGTGTAGTTCTTTATGTTACATGTTGCCGGATTTGGTCTAGCATTTTGCCATTAGTGCAGAGCCCGATGCAGGGCTTGAACCTGCAAACCACGAAATCGTGACCTGAGCTGAAATCCGGAGTCAGACTCTCAACCTACTGAGACACCTACGCACCCTTCCTCATTCATTTCTAATTTTAGTAATTTGAGGGGATCCCCCCCTCCGTGGTTAGTTTCGGTAAACGTTTGTCCATTTTGTAGACTGTTTCAAGGAACTAGCTTTCAGTTTTATCAATTCTTCATTTTTCAAGTTTATTGATTTTCTCACTGCTGTATTGTTTCACTTCTTAGGCTTGCTTTAGGTTTAGTTTGCTTTTCTTTTTCTGGTGTCCTCAGATGGGAAATTAGGTTATGTATTTGAGGTCTTTATTCTTTTTTAACATAACATTTATTGCTATCGATTTTCTTCCAAGCAGTGCTTTAATCACATTCTATAAGTTTGGAATATTGTATTTTCATTTTATGTATCTCAAATTATTTTGCTTCTTTTGACTTCTTCTTTGACCCCTTGGTTACTTGGGAATGTGTTCCTTGATTTCCACATATTTGTGAATATCTTAAATATTCCTGTTATTTTGAGTGTGTGTGTGTGAGCGCGCTTTTATTCCACATGGTGAGGTCATACTTTGTATGATGTTGATCCTTACAAAATTTACTGAAACTTGTTTTATGGTTTAGCATATGGCTTATGTCAGAAAATGGTCTGTATGCACTTGAGAAGAATGGATAGTCTTCCATCGTTGAGTGAAATGTTCTATAAATGTCTGTCAGGTTTACTTGTCTTGGTACTGCTCAAGGACTTCTCTACTTCACTGTCGAACTTTTGCCCAATTCTATCCGTTCTTAAGAGTAAGGCTGTGAAGTCTCCTGTTACTGATGCTCAGTTGTTTGTTTCTCTCTTCAGTTTTTTTACTTTGGGGCTTTGGTTAAGTGCATATAGGTTTATAGTTGTTTGACTCTTTTTTTTTTTTTTTTTATTATTTTTATTTATTTCTAGGAGGGAGAGAGAGAGACAGCGTGAGCAGGGGAGGGTCAGAGAGAGAGGGAGATACAGACTCTGAAATAGGCTCCAGGCTCCGAGCTGGCAGTCAGCACAGAGCCCGACGCGGGGCTCGAACCCACAAACCGCGAGATCATGACCTATGCGAAAGTCGGACACTTAACCGACTAAGCCACCCAGGTGCCCCAGTTGTTTGACTCTTTTATTATGATAAAATGTTACTCTTTTTCTCTGGCGGTTTTTTTGTTTTATTTATTTATATTATTGATTTTTAACATGTTCTCAACTTGATTGAAATCATCAGTATCCCAGATGCATTTATCATTTTTAAAAATCAATTTAAGGGGAGCCTGGGGGCCTCAGTCAGTTAAGCATCCAACTTTGGCTCGGGTCATGATCTCATGGTCCATGGATTCAAGCCCCGCGTCGGTATCTGTGCTGACAGCTCAGAGCCTGGAGCCTGCTTCGGATTCTGTGTCTCCCTCCCGCTCTGCCCCTCCCCTGCTTGCTCTCTGTCTCTGTTTCTCAAAATAAAATTAAAAGACATTAAAAAGCAATTTAAAAAATCAATTTAATGCTATCAGAAGGTGAATGTTCAACTTAATCCTATTTGCCTTCACAACACTGTCGTGAGCCTTCATTCCAGGCCACGTAAACAAAGAGTGCCAACACCACGTGGATGGCGACCACCGCAACAATAGCAGCATAAAAATAGCTGTCCCTACTGGACATCCCAAAGGCACCTTCAAAAACATAAGATTGAGTCTAGAAGTACCACCCACTAGCTACCGTGATCAAGAAAGCTGTGAAGAACAGGAGTGGCTTCAGGGTAGATGCTAATGAACTTTCATTTCTGAAGTTGGGCGGTGGCTGCTTTATCAGTGTGCTTCGTGGAGCAGCCGCCCCCCGGCAGGTGCTCGGAGGCAGGCGGTGGCAGGGTCCGCTCCGCTGAAGGCCCACGGGGGCAGGCGCGCCGCAAGTGCCCTCTACTAATTCTTTTGTTTTGAAGTTTGATACACGTATTGGCAGTCCACTTCTCTTCTGCTTGCTTTTCTCTTTCTTTATTCTTATTCTTTTTGTTTTTTAAATGTGTGATTTTATTTTTAAATTTTTGATTACTTTTTGAGAGAGGGAGAGAGAGAGAGTGCACGCGTGCATGAGTCGGGGACGGGCAGAGGGCTAGGGAGAGAGACTCTGAAGCAGGCTTCACACCCAGCTTGGAGCCCAGCCGCTGCAGGGCTCAGTCCTATGATCATGAGCTCATGACCTGAGCCAAAGTCAAGAATTAGAATCTGAGCCGACTGAGCCACCCACAGGGACCCCACTTCTCGTTGCTTTTCCCTGGTATATTATTTTTTTATCAAATTTGGGAAGTTCTCAGCCGTTATGTCTTTAAATTATCTTTTTGTTCCTTTCTTTACTCTTCTTCTGGGACTACCCTTCTGGGACTCCTGTCACAAGCATGTTGCTAAGCTGGATGGTGTCCCACAGGTATTGGAGTCTCTCTTCATTTTTCTTCTTTCTTTTTCTTTCTCTTACTCAGACTAGATATCTCAGTTGACCTGTCTTCAAGTCATGAATTCTCCATCCTGCTCAGACCTGGTGTGATGTCCTTTCAGTGAATTTCTTAATTTCAGTTCATTTCAACTCAATTTCTATTTGATTCTAATTTACAAATTCTCTGTATTATGGTATTATCTTCTTTTTATAAGTTTTACAATACTTTTTTTAAAAAGGTGTGTTTATTTTTGAGAGAGAGAGAGCACACACACTTGAGTGGGTGAGGGCCAGAGGATCTGTAGCAGGCTCTGTGCTGACAACAGCCCAATAGGGGACTCAAACTCATGAACCATGAGATCATAACCTGAGCCAAAGTCAGATACTTAACCACTGAGCCACCCAGGCGCCTCAAGTGATATTTTCTTTTTATGGAGACAGTGTTCCCATGCTTCTTCAGATTTGTGTTTTTGTTCCTGAACATCTTTAAAATAGCGGTTTTAAGGTCTAGATGACCCAGAGAGAGTTCTGTCTCCTTGGCTGCACTCACGTGAAGTAAAGCTTCCACCGCACTGAACTTGGAGGGAATGGGGAAGGGCAGCAAACTGTGGTTCAAATGCCAGACTCAGCTCTGAGATTTAATAGATTTCCTTGAATGGATGGCTTGTTCACTGATACATGCCTTTTAATGATTGTTTTTTAAATAATTTTCACCAGCTAAGTTTTGTTTCACCGGGGAGAGGGTCCTCAAACCACCATTCCAGAAGTCCTACTTTTGATGTCTCAATTTTAATAGTGTATATTACAGTGTATAGTTTCATATGATGCTTCTTAACCATTGGTATGTACCAGTCTTCTGGGCTGTCTCAGATTCAGGACACACTTGTAAATCTAGTGAACTCTTTTGAACTTGTCTACTCTTATATGGCAGATGTGTGACTAAGGCTTCTTTAAAAGTAGAAATTGTTGGGGCCCTTGGGTGGCTCAGTCGGTTAAGTGCCCGACTTCAGCTCAGGTCATGCTCTCACAGTTCATGGGTTCGAGCCCGGTGTGGGGTTCTGTGCTGACAGCTCAGAGCCTGGAGCCTGTTACAGATTCTGTACCTCCCTCTCTCTCTGACCCTCCCCTGCTCACACTGTCTCCCTCTCAGAAATAAATAAAAAACATTAAAAAAAATTTAAAAGTAGAAATTGTTGCTGGGTGCCAAGTATGGCCACCCTCTCCTTGAGATGTCCTTTTCAGTTTTTCCTCTCCCATCCACACTTAGCAAGCCATTAGAGTCAGGCTGATGAATGATTCAGCACAAAAATACTCTGCTTCTTGAATAAGGACTCTTGATGTTTCTTTAGCTGTCAGTAGACTATTAAAAATAAAGAAATGAATAGAGTAAGGAAGTGAGTGATTTTCTCTATTGTGAAATTTTAATTAGGTAAAAAAATTTCTTTGCCTTTCCTGAGTTGCACTTTTATTTTCATTGTAGTTATTTATAAGCTACACTTTTAAGAAAAATGGTGGAGCGATGTTAGAGGTATCCTGTACTCTTTGAACTATTTTATTTGTTTTTTGTTTAATGGATCATGTCGTGCTTCCCTGAGAAAGAGGCTAGTACAGAATATTAGAGCTTCAAATAAAGAAGATAACCTGGTGAATTTAGCAGAAATGTAAACAAAGTATTCAAGCAATAATATGTAGTTGAAACTTAAGGTGTTTATTTGTAAGAATTTATCCTTTTTTAAGTTTTTTTTTAAATAATACGTTTCTGACCAAAAACCTTGAGTATGGCTCTGTAATCTCTTTCCTAGAATTAAGATTCATTTAACTTTAATAACAAAATTTTCTTTTCATTTCTTTTTTTTTTTATTTTATTTTTTTAATGTTTTATTTATTTCTAGGAGAGAGATAGAGACAGCATGAGCAGGGGAGGGTCAGAGAGAGAGGGAATCACAGACTCTGAAACAGGCTCCAGGCTCTGAGCTGGCAGTCAGCACAGAGCCCGACGCGGGGCTCGAACCCACGAACCGCGAGATCANAAACAGGCTCCAGGCTCTGAGCTGGCAGTCAGCACAGAGCCCGACGCGGGGCTCGAACCCACGAACCGCGAGATCATGACCCAAGCGAAAGTCGGACGCTTAACCGACTAAGCCACCCAGGCGCCCCTCTTTTCATTTCTTGAATAATGCTTTTGGCTCTGGAAAATGCAGCACAAATGGGGTATTTAAACAATGATACTTTATTTTTATTATTTTTTGTAATGAGCTTTCAGAAATGAGGTGTAGAGGGAGACCCAGCTCTCTTGAAGGTTATTTACCCCTTTCCCTAACACCGCTCGAGAGGACCTGAGTTGGGACTGGCATGAATGCCCTTTCATTCTTGCCCTTGTAGTCCTGTTTGCAGGCACAGTTTTGCTCCAGGGAACCATGGAAAACAGGACTGTTTGAAAAAGCACAGCTATTTGACCTAAAACGCTTCTTGACCTTGTACTGTGCCTATTTGAGTAACAGGTTTTTAAATTGGCTGATGTCAGTCGTTTTCCTTGTACTATTTTATCTTCTAACTAGTCCCCGTGAACCTTGACTAATAGAGAGTATCCTAGGAAGAGGTGACATTTTAAAGGATAGTTCACATTGCAGTGATTGGTACTTTTTGTACACGCTTAGCAGACAGAATCTTGAAAACGGAAAAGAGAGGAAAAGAAGAAATGGTGGAGGAGACGATGAATTGAGTGTATAGGAGGAAAAGGGGTCAGTTATTGTAGGTGTTCCTTTGTTTGAAAGGGGGAGCTTAGGGTAGGTCGGTAATGAGAAATGTTTTACTTTTATATTAGCGGAAGTGAAAGAATGTCATTACAAGAAAACAGTGCTTTCCACATTTCAAATTTCTGAAAACAGGGAGCTCTGATCCAGTTAAGCTCACTTATTAGAAGTACTTTTTTTCATGTTATGATTCATCTTTTATTCATCACCTGCTGGAGTTATTCTCAGTTAAAGGAAAAGCTTCAAAGGGTAACCAAGGGGATCATCTAGCCAAGCAGATTTAATGAGATTTCATACTATTTGGGATTATGGTTACATAAACCAGCATAATGTGTTCTGGGAACATTGATATTAGTCAAAAGAAACCGTGTCTGACAGGTATATACTTTACAGTTGTCTTGACAACAGTTACACACTAACTAGTATTTTTTTTTAAGCCTTTTTTTAGGGTCAGTGTTACTTGTGTTTGGCTAATATTAATGCACTTAACCCTCCTGTAACAGTTTCATGCCAATGAAGAACCTGAAGTTTAGAGAGCAGAACTGGTGGTAGTGGAAAGCTTTTGTGCCAGAATTTGAACCCACTCAGGGCTAGTGAAAGTTCTGGTGACTCAACTTGTAACAGAGATGTAGGTAATAAAATGATAAGATATAAAATGGGTTCATTTTCATTACCTAGTCTTTTAGCAAGGCCTCTTCATTCTTGAGTTCTTTCTTAATTGGTTGTCTTTCATCAGATAGGTTTTGTTTAACTCTCACCCCTTTTAAGAAAGACTCTTAAAGAACAAAAACAAGAAAGAAGGAAGGACAGAAGGAAGAAAGAGAGAGAAAGAAAAGGAAAAGAGAGAAAGGAAAGAAAAGTTCTTAGATGTTGTATTAAAAGTTTGGTTTGAGAAGATTTGCCTGTTTCCTTTTACTAGAATGACATCTTGGCTGGGTATAATATTCTTGAGTATTGGTATGGAGAAGTCTGTGCAAGCCAGATACTGACAGTGATTTCCTTGTAATTTTCCTTGGGTACCATAAGTATTCTTTCCTTATCCTTGAAAGTCAGTAATTTGATAGTGAGGGGTTGAATGCATTTAATTCTCTATCTCATTTTCCTGGAACATAATGCTCTCATTAAATCTGTAGATTATTTTGTCACTTTCAAGGAATCTTATATATGTACATAAACATATAATTTTGAATGGATTTTTCAGTTACTTTTGTTGAATTCTTTACTTGAGGATGCAAGTATGCTTAGGTTAGAGAAAGTCTCAAGTCAGTAAACTCTTTTTTCCCTTTCTTTTGCTGTGTTAATATGTCATCTTTGAGTTATTTCATTGAATATATTTTTTTAAAGCTGTTCTGAGGTTTGTTTTTGTTTATTTTGTCATAGATTGAGTTTTTTAAGTGCTTTTGGTGGGGGGAAGGAAGGAGGAGGGAAATGGGTACAGCCTAAACTAAAAATTTAAAAACCTATTTATAAGTCATTTGGAGTGGAAAGTATACAGAAAGGTTTCTAATTTTAAGTTTGTACTAAGGCCTTTTGAGTTATAAAATGCTGAGCTGTTGCTGACACTGGAAAATCTTGTGAGAGGGTAGGAATATACAAAAGAAGTGACACAGGTAGGTTTATGTGGATGTTTGTGCTTAATGCCTTGAGTTTAAGGAATCTTCCGTGCTGCTTTTCATTTTGCTGTCTTTGACGGATCCTGTCCAAAGAATAAGGTTGGTAGTGAACTACACATTTAAAGCACAGTTAGAATGCAGGTGTATAAAAATCTCAAATGAGCAGATCATAGCAAAACAGATGTTTGTCTATGAAAGCAAACTCTTTCTGGGCGTCTTACATTCTTAGTTTTGGTACCAACAGTACTTTTTCTTAATATGCAACAAAATAATCAATGTCTTTAAAAAGTAAAGCTACTTTAATTAGTATATGTATTATCTTACAATGTGAAGCCCTAGAATTTTGTATATGGTTTTTTAATAGATGCTTTTCCCCATTACAGTGTTCACAATAATGTTTCAACTCAGAGTAATGGCTCCCAACAGGTAAGATTTCAGCTTCAAAAGAACACTGTACTTAATTATGACACACAGTGGTGGTATTAACTAAATTTTCACAGTGGCATAACTTCAGCAGAGTTTTGTGTGTTTTTCTTATCTGTAAAGTGGCTCAATATATGAAACCCTCTGTTATTTTATTATCTATGATGTTATAAATAGAACAGGTATTCTATAGAACATTTTCTGTTCCTGTAAATCCTATAAAATAAATAAGACGGTGATAGATTATCATTTATCGCTAAGGTTGAATATAACATTCAGGCATTTGTTTACACTGCGTTTGTTCAGTATGTAGATAGTATTCCATTTTAATGTTCTGTTTATTTGTGATGAAGTGTTTTATAAGTAAAATAAATGATTTTTATCATTTCTGTCCAAAGGGTTGGGCTGTGAGATCCACCCTGCCTGTGGCTTCTTCTGTTCCCTCTGGTCCTGTGCTGGCAGAGATAGAGAATCTTCCAGTGAATCCTGGGACAGACCAGCATGACAGGAAATGGTTTGTTAACTCCTTAAACAAGCATAAAATGTTACTTGCTTAATGTATTCTAAATTCTCAGCCCATAATCCTAGAGTACGTGAAATATGATTGGAAGCAAATTATTCATATTTGTAAGCTGAACCGAAACACACTATTGAACAGGCAGATTGGGATTGGGGAAATAAGGGATATAAATGAAGAATGGAATGCAGTTACTTAATTGAAGAACATCGGTCAGCTCTCCTTATTTTGGTTAGTATGACTGGGAGAGTGGTGGGTGGTTCTCTGTGTAAAAGGGCTTCAGTGCTAGTCAGAACCTTTATACAGATCCGTAAAGAAAATATGTTCTTTATATGTTATTCCACACGACCTAACGCTACTGCTTTGGATGAGTTTTTTCGTTAAAGACTGAAGGTAAAGCCAAACGGGAAACATGATTCTTATCTAATAAAGCATGAACTACTCCATTTTGGGGGGTTGGAGAGATAATCTGATGACAGAGAAGATCTTTCATTTGCTTAGAGTCCCAGGGTCTGTTTTTAGATTCATGCACAAATATGAATACTTTGTGGCTTATTGGAGTGTAATCAGCAGGGTGCATTCTTTCCCGAATAAACATATGTGGCTTGGAGGGCTCCCCGCGAATTGCTTGATTGAGTGATCATGTTGGTTGCATCTTTTCAGGTTGTATGTCTGTGAAATGAACTTTGATAATTCATAGGATTTTTCTCTCTTTTTCTCTTGCTCTTAGTTTGTTTATACCTGAAATCTAATGAGTTTCTGTGGTGATCTCAAGGTTTGGGGCAGCTTTCTATGCAACCGGTTCTTCCTTCATGGTGGTGGGTCAACAGTGGCTGGTGATTATTTTCAGTCTTTGCTATGTAATTGTTTTTCACTGTTGTTTTGGCTTCACTAACTTGCAAGGTGCTTTTGCTCCTCATGGTTGGGCATATGTTTACTTCAGTTCCAAGTCACTTGATTAGTTTCTGTGATTGAGGGAATCCTCCCCCCTCCCTCCCCCCCTTTTTCCCTTTTCCTTTTGCCTGAGTGTGGTAGGGATACTTTGTGTGTGTGTGCATGTGGACACACGCTTCAAGTGTAGACAATGAGGTTTCTAAATGTCAGATTTTAGTCTTTATATTTTTAAACCATTAGAAATAGTTTTCTTCAATTTTTTACTGAACACACAGCTCCACTAAGCAGCTATGTTTCATTGCCTTGATATTAGCACCAAGTCCTGGAGGCAAGGAAAGCAGCACTGAGACTTCAGCTATAGAAGAACTGCCTTAATACAAGCTTACCTTTTATACTAATATGGGATGAGAGTTTTTGGGTTTTTTTGCATACTATATGATGACACTAAATCTATATTGAGTTTTCTAATTTTAATGGGCACATACTTAAATCTGTTTAATTGATTCATTAGGCACTAAGTTCCTTTGACATAACCTTTAGAAGTAGACAATCCTGAACCTGAAGAGTATTGAATTTCAAGGAACATGAAAATGTGAAGCTGTGTGTCCTTCCTTTACTTACTCACGCTGAGACCTCCTTTGCTGAAACGGAGCAAAATGACCCTGAAAAGTTAATGAGCCTCAGCGAACGTCAGCCTTGGCGCGGGGCCGAGCACGCAGGCGCTCTGTCTTGGAGCCAGTGGGTTCCCCAGCCTGAACTTACAGTGCATTTTCTATTTTACTTTTTGTTTCTGCATGCTTTGTTTGTTATTAATGCTTTTAAATGAAAATAAAACAGTCCTCCTTTAGAAAGTGATAAGTTAATAAAATTTGGAAATGCTCCCTAGATTTGAACAATTGGACAGAATAACAGACTATAATCAAGTAGATCAGTTTTAACCATTTTAATCTAAACCTACGTCACGTTCAGTTCTTCAGCTTTCTCTTGCTAGTATGTTCTACATGGTACCGTTATTTCCATAAATAATTTGATAGTAGTGTAGATATTCAGAGTCCGATATTTAGAGTATCACCTTTTGAGAAACAATTATTATATTTTAAACCCATTAAACCATTTATAAACCACAGCAAAAACAGAATTGAATATTTGGGAAATCTTGCATATATTGGGGAGACCATAACCCTAACTTAATGTCTTATATTTTAAAAAATTTTTAATGTTTTATTTATTTCTAAGAGACAGAGACAGTGAGAGCAGGAGAGGGTCAGAGAGAGAGGGAGATACTGAATCTGAAGCAAGCTCTAGGCTCTGAGCTGTCAGCACAGAGCCCGACGCAGGGCTCAAACCCACAAGCTGTGAGATCATGACCTGAGCCAAAGTCGACTGCCCAGCCACCTGAGCCACCCAGACGCTGTATATTGAGGGTGATGAATTTTATGGGATGGATTTGCTGAACAAATTGTATATCAGTTGCAGAAAAAGATGATTTTATTGAATAAAACCATTCAAGTTTGTCCTGAAAAATCTGAAATGTAGCTCATTTCTTTTCAATTTCCCTAAGGAAAAAAGGTGAAGATTTATGTTTTAGTTGAGTTAGGAAAGTGTCATATTTAAAAATCTATCTTTAGACCCCTTTTATAATTGGGGTGATTTTTTTTTTCTTTGTAATTATCTTAAATACATGCTGCCCTTTTTGCTGTGTTGCAAAACCTTGATCTACTGAACCGTGACCAATGTTTTCTTTCTACTGGAGGACTCTGGTTATTTGTAACCAGGAGCTGCTTGTATGCATGCTTCATCCTCATAGTTCTGTAGGTCTGTTCTACGGCCCTGTGCGATAAGGGGTTTCTTAACATACTAAACAGCTCCTTGGAGGGGCTTTATAGTCTCCTCACATTATCTGTACCTGTTGAATTTCATTCTGAGGTCCTGTGAACCTTGATTATAGAAGGAATAGTGATTCTCCATTGTGAATTGGAAACACTGATGTAAAATTACACGGCCTCTGAAGGTAGTTGTGGAGTTTTGTTTCCTGGATTTCAGTTTTGTGAAATCACTTAATTTGGGGAATAATGTTCACAGTTGCCCTTTTCTGTATGTGCCTTTGTCCATAATTTAGAATTGTCCTTTTGTTTTATCATTTTTTGTAATGTTTATTTATTTATTTTGAGGTGGGGCTGGGAGAGAATGTAAGCATGAGCAGGGCAGGGGCCGAGAGAAAGGGAGAGAGAGTCCCAGGCAGGCTTCTCATTGTCCGTGCAGACCCCAACGCAGGGCTCCATCTTGCGAACTGTGAGCTCGTGACCTTAGCCAAAATCAAGAGTTGGATGCTTAACTGGCTAAGCCAACCAGGCGCCCCAGATTGTCCTGTTAAATATTTGAATTAAGTCAGTTATAGATATTTTTTCCTTTTCATTAGAACTTCAAACAGTGTTTCTACCTTTGATTTTGGTACCAGCATCAGGGACGGATAGAATGTTTTGCTCTTTGTGAAATTTCCTCTTTATTAACTCTGATTACTTATTCATATTCCCTGTTGAGCTTTTCTACCACATGTAACTTTGTTGATTCTCTCCCCCACCCCACCCCCTTTATTCTTGAATGTCATTGCATGTAATGGATGTCAATAACTACTCACAGCTGGTGCATGCCGGTCACACTGCCTTTCTCTTTTGTTACCTCTTACACATTCATTTTCTCCTGTTCCTGTAGACTAACTGTGCTCCCCTCCCACTCCCCAACCATCCAGGCTCTCTGCTGCCGGTGACTGCTGTCAACGTGGTGGAAACCAGTGGAACACAAGGGCCTTGTCCCCACCCCAGCCTGCACATAGAAACTACACTGACTTTGTCCATGAGCACAATGTGAAGAATACAGGAGTCCATCCTGATGTTCATTTTCCCGGCCGTGCAGCCATGACTGAGATATGAGTGTTAAGCCTGTTAGATACTGGAACTCTTTATCATGCGCGTTGACGGTATACATTTTCTAACATAGAGGGTGGGTCACGTGAGGAGAATCTGGGAGACCTCCCATTGAGTCACTAGAGGTAGCGTTGGTTGCGATTGAATAACTCTGTGCCAGGGACGTGATGTTAAGAAGCTGTGTACCATCAGCGATAGCGACAGATGTTTTTGTGTTGAAAGGGTATGTGTATCATCATTTTGGAAAGATTTCTCATGATTTGAACATGTGAGTACGTCACTCAGAAGATGTCTCAGGAGAAGGTTTGTGTTTGTGTAGAAGCTGCCTATTGTCATCCTCCCCAAGCCATCCAGATATTGAGGTTAAAAGAATCGGACGAAGAATCCTTCCTATACTGGGAAGGAAGCGTATCCAGGCTCGGTGTTTCAGCCTTTGGCGATACTTTGATAAAACTACTTTTCTGTGCCATTGTTAATACTTCTGCAGTGACCCATGCCTTAATTTCAGTTAAGTGCCTAAGATTCTGTAATTGTAATTAATGTGATTCTTAATTAAAAGCACTTTTAGTTTTTAACAAATGCAAGTATTTTAATTTGCCAAAAGGTCTAGAGGTCACATTAATAAGGTGATTCCCATAGAGAGATAAATCTGAATGGCTACTTTTGCACAATTAACTGGTTAACCAGTGGTTAACTGAATTTTGTCACATTACTGCTGAATGGTTGTACACAATGGAAAATGTATTCACTTTTTTCTTTTCATTTTTCTCCTTTCTTTTTCATCTTATGCATCTGATAGCTTTCCCAGGTTTTCAGCAGCCTTATAATCTGGTCTCGTATGACCTTTAAAATAAAATTCTAAGGCCAAAACCATACCACTTTCAAATGGATTGGATATATTACTATTTTTCGTCCTTCATGAATGAGTGTATTTATCCAAGCTCTTTGATTTAATTCTTAGAGGCAGATTACCTGAAAAAAGTACATTTCTAATGTAATGAGAATTGATGTAAGAGAAGCCTTTTCTATAGTTCTTAGAAATTTTAACAGTTTCCAAACCTTAAAACTACATATATAGTTATTTGAAGATATTTTATAGTCTAGAATTCCTAATATTTCAAGATAAGGAAGCTTTATTATAAACAACTCCCCCCCCCGATATATCATCCTGTTTACCTC